CCTGGTTCCTCCTCTGCAAGGCATCCTTTTCAAGAGAAGATCCTTCTTTGACCCCAGGACAGGGGCTGGAGGCTCCTCTGGTAACCTGGGAAGGAACCATGAAAACTGCAGGCAATATTTGAAGCTTGCAGTGATGGGATGGAGAGATGAGTGCTGGAGATCTGAGATGGAGAGAGAGTGATGGGATGGAGTGATGGGATGGAGAGATGAGTGCTGGAGAGCTGGGATGCAGAGCTGGGATGCAGAGGGAATGTCCAGCCATCTCCTGTCCCCTCTCCTCGGTGACACCCAGCAGGGACATCTCCCACTGCTGTCAGCACACAAAGCTTGCAATGCACTTTGCAAAACCTCCACTGCTGATTTCCCATCTGCAAAACCAGGGAAAAAAAAAAAAATCTGTGTGCTGGAGTTCTGGAAGGCTCAAGGCTGCTCCATATCCAGGGGTGCCTGGCTGTGCCAGCTGAGGGTGGCAGCAATTCCCCAACCCAGGGCTGCTGGCAGCGAGCAGAGCTGCCCTGCCTGGGGCTGGAGAGGGATTTTTGCTGTGACATTTTCTGCACACAGGCAGCAGGGCATGGATGGGCTGAATTCCCATGTCCCGAATTATTCAGCACCGTGGAGGAGGGAAAACGTGTCCCAGAGCAGGGGAACATCCTGCCTCCGTTTTTTTCTCTTTTTATTTGTGTGTGTAGATTTATAAGCAGCTACAGATATAAAATTAACTGCTGAAAGTGGGGTTATTCTGCTCACAAAAATGCAAATAAATGCAACACATCCCTGGTTGATTCATCCCAGTCAACCAGAATTGACAGGTACCCAGGCCTGCTTGATTTGTGGGTGGTTTTACATTCTGAGGGGGAWTYAGTTGGTTATTTTTATTTTCCCCACTCTCTCCTATTCCTAATCGATCTGAATGTCCTGGAATGAATCTGCAGACACTTATAAACAGTCAGGGCTTGGGGAAACACAGCAGAGCAGCTGCAGCCCTGCAGCAGGAGGCTGGAGTGATGTGAATCCACTGCTGCAGCTCAGCACGACTGCAGCACCACTGGAGCTAAAGGGATATTTCCAGCTTTTCCAAGGTTAAATTCAAGGCTGGTGGAGGCATCTGGCATTCTTCAGGCAGTGGAAATATCCCTGTCTGGCTGCCTGTTTGTCTGCACGGCCAGAAGGAGGGTTTGTCACTGAATTTGACAAATTGGTTATTCAGAGGCGGGAGGATTTGTTATCCCAAGGGTTGAAATGGAAACCACCCCTGTGAGGAGTGTGTGATGGTGTAAGCAATCCATCCAGGGATCTGTGGGATCATCCCAATGGGATGGAGGTGTGGGACAGCGTGGTTGGGCTCTGGCTGAGCTCAGGTGGCTTTGGGCAGWGGTTCAGCTCCAAACCAGCATTCCTGTCCACTTTTTCCTGCGGGATTCCTTCACTTCCAGCTGTGGAAGAATCCCCACTGGAGGGTTTTAGGGAGTCCCAGGTGGGCTGGCAGCTGGCTTGGCTTCCCCCATCCTGTCCCAGGCAGAGTCCAGCCTGCCCTGAGCTTGGCTCAGAGGTTGTTCAGGGTGAGCTGAGGGCAGTGCTGACCTCTGGGCCAGGTTTTTGGTGCAGACCTGYCCTAGCACGAGTGATGGCACAGGAGAAGGGCTGTGAGAATTGAGAGAATTGAGGGCTGAAGGAGCTGCTGGTAGCTCCAGCCTGTGGCTCTGTGAGGTGTTCAGATCCTTGTTTTCCCTGTCTGTGCTGTGTGTGGCAGGGGCTGTATTCCCCAAATTTAGCATTTTCCTGTAGTTGYAATCAGTGGATCCAGTGCTCCTTCAGAGCTCTGTGCCCACAGCTGGAGTCACCAGAGTCRGGAAAATTCATCCACAAACASCAGMRKTTRATGTCCAAACAGGAGACAGAGGAGTCCTGTGCCTTTATTTGAATAAAGAGAGAGGCCATGGGGCATTTCCATGGGGTGTCCCCAATTGCTGGTGGGTGCAGCCTCCTTTTATCCCAAWTTCCCTYCTTTYATCCCAATTTCCCAGCTGCATTTCCCTCTCTTTCCCCATTGGCAGAGGGACTGGAGATGTACAGACATCCCAAATCCCTTAACACAGACCCCCTTCTCATGTGCATCCCTCCCTTTTTATTCTTTGTGTCTGTCCTTTTTCTCTAACTCCAGGGGTTTAGCCCTGCCTTGGGTCAGTACCAGTCTGTGTCAATGGTAGGATTCCCATGGAATTTATGGTTCCATCATTGCTCCTTTCCCCTGTCAGGATCTGGYCTTTCCTACCATCAGCCCCCACAGTTTGTCTGTAAAGACATCTCCCTCTCATTCCTGTCCCCAGTGCTCAGGAAGTGTGAAAGGAAGGGTTTGAACTCTTTCAAAGCTTTGGGAAGTTCTGGAGCCAGGCCARGTGACAGCCCCCACCCCCATCCCGGGATGGAAAAAGCTGGGACCTGCTCCCTGTGCTCACCTTCTGCTTCAGAGCACTTTGGATTTTTATCATCAGCCCAGGCTGAAAATCCTCGGGATTTGTCAGGGCAGCAGCGAGGGCCATTGGTGCTGGGAATTGTCATTGATGGACATGTGGGATGCACAGCTTATTTCATTAAAAGCACTTTGGGAACTCTCTGACAGCAGAAACTCGGCAGTGCTGCTGAGCTGGGAGGGAGATGGAGTGTGCAAAGCTCTCTGCCAGTGCTGGGCTGTGAGYTCTCCCAGCAGCAGCGTTCCATCAGCTCAATTGGTGCCTTAATGTGCTCATTGCCAGGGGAGCTGCTCGTTCCTTCAAGCTTTCAGTGCAGCTGAAGAAAGAAAACATCACAAAGGGAGTGCAAACATCCCCTCATCTTCAGGCAAAAAGTAGCTGTAATTATTGTTAAAAAAATATAAAATATCTGAGCTAATATTGCCTGGCTTGAATGTTGGAGACACTGCTGGTGCCTACTTGAGCATGAAGGATAAGAGATGCAGGAGAGGGGAGGAAGGGTTTGTTTCTGTGGGTCTGTAATGACATTTTCGGTGTGAATGATCCG